AACCGGTGACCTACGGATTGTCCAGAAGTCCAGTGCTGCTGACCATTGCACCAGAGCAGCTGATATTCAAATGGAAAAAAAATATATTAATAAAAAGGTTGCTTGAATGCGCAGAGGAATAAATGTGTGCTTTCATTAATAGGCTATCTTGCTTGGTTCAAATTATCTTCCGGCGGCATTCGGTTCTCATTTTGCGATTGAAGTGATTAACCGATGCGTTACGCTGCCAACATCCCTGGGGCATTGGGAGAAAAAAAAATTCCCCCCGTGGAAAATTGAAACAGCCCCACCGATTGCTGCTTACACCTGCAAAGTCACTATGAGGACGCGCGCATACACACACAGTTGTCATTAGCTCTGGAACACACCACTTTTTGTGTAGCAGGGAGAACAAAAAAGGCAACGCGTGATTTTTTTTCGTCAATTCCCACCCGTGTTGGCAAAGCAAGAGCAAAACCTCGTGACAAAAGTGCGCACAAATTTCCAAGCCTGACTTTAAACGATACACTAAACGAAAAACAATTTTTTTTTATTTTACCAGGTAAGGCCTAACTGATCTACGTAGCTCTTTTTTTCAAAAGCGACCTGGCCACAAATGGCAGCTTAACGAAGTGGCTTATCACGTGGAAATGTATAGCAGGCAAATACTCCAAACGCGCGTTGATAAATGGCGAGGGAAAAACTGGAGGACCCGGAGAAAATGCACGTGCCCATGGGGAGGAGCATGGAAACTAATAAACAAAACAAAAACAATCTAACTGCTGCCGTCCACGAGGGAGTAACTTCAGTCTGGTCCGTTCGGGTCAGCGACTCGAAAAATATTTCCATACCGGGCACATCACATCCACCATACCTCTCCCAATCGCTGTGGCTATTAGTCACGTGCCACCTACCCGAGTCTACCAGTGTTGTGGAAAATATATCCGCACCCGGCACAACGCATCCAGTATACCTCTCGCTATCGCTGTGACTGCTAGTCAAGCTCCACCTACTCCAAAGCGAACCGGTGACCTCGAAAAATATCTGAGATATAAACCAATCCCTCGATTTTAATTGTGTTAGTGAGGTCATTTTCCTCTCACAGCGCAAGTCTATGCTCCCAGTTGGTGCCCATTTGAATACCAGAGGGCAACGCATTTATCACACGCACGCGCACACACTACGTTATTTGTTGCTACGCATCGATATAAGTATATTATGACTGCCGTGCGTTCTATTCCAGGATGAGCGGGCTCACAGACCTTATCGGTGCCTTGTATATCTGTGTCATTGGCATCTCTCCTACCTGCACACTGATAGCTTCACCCCTCGTAAACTATTTTGTTTTGACTCCGCGAGCCTCTGCCGGGGATGTGCCAGGTCAAATGAAGCATGTGGCCGGCTCGTTCGATGAGCTCGCAACGACGTGAACTCGCGTGGGGTCTCCCATCGCTGCCGCTTCCCGCACCCCCCCCCCCCCGCCCCTCCCACCCACCACCGCCTCTCATCTTGGCGGCTTTGATCGGCAAGAAAGATGCAAGAACGGAAAAGCGAGTCGGAAACCAAAGGGGAAATGTGTTGTTTCGCGTGGACACTTTAGGGCCCACTCAAGGGCTCTGATGCTAGTCGGAAAAGAAAAGGGTGGGAGGAAGATTACCACAAGCTCCAAATATGGAGACTTGCTGTTGTATCTCCCCCTGCCCCCCTCCCCCCTGCCCCTTCCTCCTCCCACCCTGGGAACAGATCAGCCTACAAATGCCATCCCCGCTTCCCATCGCGACGTGCGGGCAAACGAACAGAATTCGAGAGCCGGGCGCGTCCGGCACTCGCAGGTGCAATTGTGGGGCAGGAGAGCCGGAGGCCGTGAAACCAGGGGCATCTTTAAACGGCGATAAATGCAACGGCAGGCTCGTAGCGGTGCCGGCCGTGCCAAGCTCGTGAAACGGGCAGGAAAAAAAACAGCAATTGAGCGTGTTTAACTACTGAGACACAATCTGGCAAATGACGCATCCAATTAAAATGTCTCCGCGCTGACGCAGCAGGCAACATTCTTCACCCCCGTTTTCCGATTTCTGTGTTTTCGCGCAAGTTTCTGTCACCACCTGACATCGGCGGTGAGCATAAACGCTCGAATCGTCGCGCCAGAATTTTACGTTGGCACGACGGGAAGAGGGACCCCAGAGTGCACGCTGGTCAATGACGTCACCCAAACGACGAGGGCCTTGGACAGGACGGCGCGCGGCTAGAAGGGGCACGGTGGACGACGGTGAAAGAGCAACAGCAGAGTGGCAGCCGAGAGGAATTAGAAGCTCCCCCCCCCACCGAGGAGATGGAGCGATAAAAAAAATCAGCCCACGCGCAGCTTCCGAGTGGACCCTTTAAACAATGCCGGGTCTCTAAAGGTGGCGGTGGATTCAGGGAGGCCCTCAGTGCGGCAGTGGATCGACCGTGGCCGATTGATGATGACGACGATGCTTCTCGTGTGGAGCGGTCGGAAAAGACAGCGGTCTCTCCATTGCCGTTGGGATATTTGGCGCTTTGGGTGACGTAACGCGGAGTGAAGAGGACGGGGGGGGGGGGGGTTTATTATTTTTTTAAAGAGCGTCTGGACGTGGCACACAATCCCGAGTTTAATGACTTGGCAAGCCCCTTTCGGATTCCCAGCTGAGCTGACGTGGGGAGCGCCACTCGCAGAGCAATTTTGCTAATGAAGAGAATAATCAGCACATTTCACAGTCTGACTCAGCTCTGAAGGCTTGACTGCCCCTCAATATAGATAAAGTGATTTAGCGCAGGCGACTGCCCAATTAGCTTGTAATGGATTTACAGCCCTTTAAATTAGTCAAGTATTTGTTCAGAACTCATTATTTTCTCTCCGTCTTGCCAAGCTATACACTTCTTGGTGGGATTAAATGTAGAGGCATGCCAAAACGGGTGGCACAAAAGCTATTAAATTGCTCTTAATTAAATGTTTTGCAATGATTATATATGCTTTCTTGCAGTTTTTTTTTTCACAAACGTCGAACCTTATTTTTCTTATTTCACTGCAAGTGGTGAATTGTTTTCTGGATTTCTAGCAGGATTTGTATTTTTTTCATATACTCATTTCTTCAAGGCATCGTAAGATAAGCTTAAGATCATGGCATGTGCGCGGTCAGAAAAAAACGGGATTTTTGTTTTGCTTGTACAAATTTGGGCTTTGTTGTACACACAGTTGTAAACGTGTTTGTAAACATGTCAGAAAAGATAAATATCCAACATTTTTTTTTTTAAATCCTACACAAATTGGGAAAAACACCCCGGTGCGTGCATTGGTCTACACTGCCAGTGCACGACACCAAAACAATATCCAATCACGTTTTTCAAACGATTATTTTCACATTCTCCACACGATTTACCAAACAATTTGTCGCTGCAATGAACTCATCATCATCAAGCCATGATCAATCCACTGCTGGATGAAGGGCTAGGCTAAAGAAAACTAATACAAGTTGCTACATTCAACAAACAACCCTGGATAATTCAGAATATTCCAAAAATAATATTGATAATTATTAGATTTTTTTGGTTATACACGCCACAGCAACAGCAGCAGATAACAACTAGAGCATCCCTCCTTTTCCGTGAAATTGTGGCCACCACACGGAGGCTGCACGTATCATCTTCGAGCACGCGGAGTGATCTAATATCACACGGCGCAAGCCCTGAAGTGCCTCTTTTATCACCCCCGTAAATCACGGAACCCTTCCCTCCCCACACTGCACCCCACTGCCCCCCACACCCCCCCCCCCTGCCCTCCCTCTCAAACCCTCTACCCATTCCACAGACACAACAGCACTTGATTACACCGAAGCCCTTTTCCCCGATTGATACAGGATTGAGTGTCTCCAGCCATCTCAGCCGAGCTCTCCATCTCAAGACTTCCAAACTCAATTGGAGAGCTAGGCATTCGTTTAGGGATAATAGGTCCAATTCTTCTCTTCATCCTGTGTTTATTATGTAAGTGGAAATCACTTAGCATGCACGCTGGCGTCTAAATGTGCACTAGCGTGTGTGTGTGTGTACGTGCGGTTTTTTGGAGTAACCGTCAAATGCTAATCTACACATTGGCAATGCTTTTTTTTTAAATAACAACTTTACACTCATAAATGCATTAAAATAGGTAGACACGTGGATATACATCTCGAGTGACACGGCATACATTCCAGAATTATTTTGATGCTGCAGAAATGTTGATTTTTTTTTTTTTTAGAGCCCAGCTACCGTGTGCCCTCTTTTGTCACTCGGGGCAGTGGCGCAGCTTCGGAGCTGTGCCACTGGAGAGACAAAGATGGTCAAGCGGTACTATCCACACCACTCCCTTCGTGCATCATATCAGTATTCATAGGTGCTCACATTATTATTATTGTTGTTCTGATGATGGCAGCCACAAACTATTGGTGGAAATGCCACATTCCTGTAGCACTCATGCTATTGACCATGTAGTTATTATGATGGGCTGGGTAAATAAATGCCATAACCGGGCGTGCCTTTGGCGGGAGGGGGGGGGGGGGTTCCCACCTTCGGTGGTGGCTGTCATTTTAATGTACTTTGAACTTCTTTTGCTAAACTACAAACTATGAAAACTAAACTTTTCATTTATCCAGGTCAGGCCCACCGAGCTATATAGCTCTTTTTCATAAGCGACCTGGCCACAAATGGTAACTCAACGAAGTGGCTTATCATCACGTGGAAATGTAAAGCATCCAAATAGCCTGAATGCACGCTGATTCTAAATGTGGAGGGAAAAACCGTAGGAGCTGGAGAAAGACCCACACGACCACGGTCCAGAAAGACACGCAGACTCCAAATATACAGGCGCCTGGGTCGGGATCGAACCCACGGCCTCCTGCATACCAGGGGAGCTAATGAACACCTCGCCACCGTGGCACCGCAGTGCTGATCGGAGATGTAGGGGGTTGAAGGACAACAAACATTTTTCAAGGGGCCCCGAGTGATCAACAACCCCGCGGGGCGCTCACCGTCAGGTGCTGGAAGAGCCAGGCCCGCATGATGTTGGTGGCCACCTTGGGGAAGATCCCGCGCTTCTTCTGCCTCTTCTTATCCTTGTCCAGGTCGTCGTCGTCGCCCGTCCCTTCTGACGCCACGCTGTTGTCCATGCCATCGCCTGCCATGTGGGCGGGGGAGGGTGGGGGGGAGCAATTGATCAAATAAAGGTGTCAAGGTAGCCCTGGGGGGATACCGGTAAGTAGCAGCAATGATTATAGAATTATTTACAGTTCTTGGACCGGTTGGTACGTAACTCGCCACCGACATAGGCCGGGAACGGAACTCGGGCCGCCGGGTTCGAAGCGTGCGGCGCGCTAGCCGCTGTGCGGTGGCTCAAGCGTGCGAAGGGAAAAAAACGTTGCGGCGACCAAATTCATTTGCATTCATATTCTTGGTTCTTTCGGTAAAGTCACGTAGAAGGGAAACAATTATTATTATTATTTTATTGTTTCCCTTCTTCGTGACTTTACCGAAAGAACCAAGAATATGAATCCCTGCAGTCACGAAAGCTTTAAATCAAAATTAATTTCCATTCGTTAGGGTTTCACAAATAATCGGTATAAATACATCTTACTTGTTTTGATACATACAAACGGTAAATATTTTCAATAATGAGCCCTTTGTCGTTTCATCGATCGATGAATGCCTATCTCATGCTGCCGCCGTTGTTCATCGGCGGGAGGGAGGGGTTATTTGACCGTACTTTGCCACACCGGGCAGTGTGGTGTTGGCGGACGTGCACAACCCCAGCGAGAACTTCAGGCGGTCACTTGCCACCAATGTTAGCCGTGGCCGCCAATCAAACTCAACTCGCCCGGCTTCACGTCACGTGGGGGGGGGGGGGGGGGGGGGGAAGGTGGGTTTGCGAACTCCGACTACGCTACCGAAGTTTACAATTATTAAAAAAAAAAAAAACCGCCACCGCCACAAAGTTTCTCCTGCCAATTAAAAATCCTCCGCTCGCTCCGCAATTGCGGCGTCGGCTCCTCAACGCCGGCAACAGCCGCTCGGTTGGTGGCGAGAGATAGCGGGGGGGGGGGGGGGCAATCAAAGCGCTGGGTTTGCATCTTGCCGCCGCCGCCACCACCGCCCATCACTCTCGTGATGGGCTATCCTCACGGGAGGCGGGGGGGGGGGGTACGGGGCAACGCCCGAGGGGGGAGCGGGAGGCTACAGAGGGACACCCGCCTGGAACTGCGTGCAAACGGAACGCCGCGAGTTGTGCCCGCCCGAGCGAGAGGTGCATTAGCGGAGGAGAGATGGGCGTCAAGGCCTGCCCCCGGCGGTAGCAACTTGCCTCCCCTAGCCCCGGGGCAAAGCCAAGCCTTGAAAGTGACTGCCTTCGGGCCTTCTAAATTATGGAGCAAACTCCACCCTCCAGGGAAGGGAATGGGCCCAGGCTGGCGCTCCCATAACTTTAACCCCCCGGTCCACAGTCGCCAAGCATGCTCCGCTATCCATTTAGGATAAATAACATCACAGAATTAATATTTAACAGCTCGGGATATTTTTTTTTTCCTGCTTTAAAGATAAAAGCAGGCCCTAGCCATGTGACAGGCTGAAACTTTATGAGGAAGGGGGCACAAAAGGCTGTTATGATGAAAGTATATGGTTTCGACATGAAAGTTAAAATGGATCTGCCTTTGGGACCGCGCAGACGATGCTGTCATTTTTGTCTGGAACTTTATTTTGTAATTTAAGATAGGGCGTTAATTAGGACAATACTCGCAAAGCCAAGGGAAAGCCCACGTATATAATCACTGCATTGCTGCATACTTACGCCCTGTAGCCTGGGGAATAGGACAAACCACACGGCCCAGAATCCTTTGAATAACCGAAGGATAAGCCATCAAGTCACGCGAGAAAAATAAAACTCGTCCAAATATTGTTACTTCTGCTGCTCGGATCTGTCACGCCACATTATCGCACGAAAAACTCATCAAAAACGTGCAAATTTATTTTAGCAAAATGTTGAGGATTTATTTTATTGGGCATTCGCATTTCAATGCAACATGTTGCTTATTGGTCACACTCATGAGTGTGTGTAAATCATGCCTGCGATGCCTTGGTGGTTCGGTTTTTCCTTTCTTCCATTCTTTAATTCACCCCGCGCAACACCTATCCCCGGACGAACCTTAGCCCCGGAGGATGGGGCGCGGGCCTCGGTTGAAGCTCGCGTGGCTACGTGCGGGGATAAAACGAAAAGGTGGAGGAAGAAAAAAAATTCAAGAGGCTCACGACGCCGCCTCCGCCTCCTCGTCCTCCATCAACAACTGTGGAGGCTCATTAGAGACGGAGGCGTGGGCGCGGGGACCCAGGTTTCCAGGCCGGGCTTAGATACCGCGAGGAAATGCCGCGGGGCAGGTCCACGCGACGGCTAATGGCTTTTGACGGCCGCCTGGAAACGTGGACGCGGTAACCCGCGCCACCGCCTCCGAGCCCCCCCCCCCCCACCACCACCGCTCCTCCAACTCCCCCCCCCCCCCACCACCACCCCCCCCCCGCGCGCCGCTTCCCTCGCGACAGGCACGGGAAATGTCAGAGTCTCTGCCCATGGGGTCCTGGGGGCCGCGTGCCAATTAGGGGCGGCAGCGGCGCAGCAGAGACACCGCGGGTAAGGGACGGCCGCTCACCCCCGCGGGCCCACCCCCCCCCCACCCCCCGCTATAAAAAGCCGGTGCTCACTTGACACACAAACGTCAGGCCACGTTTGAATATTCCTCCATGCAGATTAACCCCATTTCCACTGCCCTCTCTTGCCTTCAATCAATCACTCGCTCGCTTGCTCGCTCGCTCGCTCAGCCGATCGCTCTCTCGTGGCTCTCTACGTCGCTCAGTTTGCGGATGGTTCTCGCCCTGCCTTGAAGGGAAATGACTCGATATCGAACGGGGCTGAAACAAAGCCGGAGTTATTCTGTGCGCCGTGCCCGCTACGCCGCGCACGGACTAAGTGAAGAGGCACGCTCGCGTTCAGCGGCAGTTTTGTGAACACCGCCAAAACGCACGGAATACCCCAAAACGCGACCGCTGCCGGACGACGGTAGCCACCGCCGTTTAATTAATTTGCACGCAACTGCGCGCGATCACCGCCATTGCGACCGTCGGTTTAATTGCATTAAACAATTACGAGCGCCGTGCGTAACGCGGATTATTTACGCAGTTATATCACACTCTGCCGCAGCGTACTGTGCGCGGACGCAGCACGGCCCTAATTAATATAGAGCAACGATAATAAAAAAAATAAAAATAAAAACACACACGTGGCGTCATGAATCTCAAAGTAATCGTCGGCAATTGTTTTTCAATTCGCTCAAGCGGGCACAGAGAAAACCGACGGACGTTGCCGGCCGTTGTACCGCTGTGCGGGGTTGCGTGCTCGGGCTGCACCGCACACAACCTGAACATGCATTGGAGAGCTACACTTTTTGTGTTTCCCCCCCCAACCCCCCCCCCCCATTATCCCCCCGCCCCCACACCCCCACCACAGTAGCCCCGCATACCACATTTACAACCGGCGCAGCAGCAGCAGCAGCAGAAACAGCAAAGCCACGTAAAATAAAAAAAATCTTTCTCAGGGCACTGGGATCAAACTTCCCCCGTGCCGGGCCAGAAGGGCCTAGGAGCGTGGCCTGTTCCACCGCGGGCCGCTCGGAGGGTTCGTGACCCTCTTTACCCCCTGGCCGTACCCCGGCCTCACAACACCGCAGGGTCCTTTCAAGGGTTTTTTTTTTTTCCTCCTGCCGAGGATTAAACCCTCACTTTCTCCCCGTGTTTCATCCCGGCTCTTCGGGATCAAAACGGCGTTTATCGCATTCAGTCGGCGCTCAATGGGCCCAAATGTTGGGAGCAGCGGGGGTCTCCCCTTTGTCTGGGATTCCCACATTTAGCGGCGGCGGCGGCCGCAGGAGGAGCAGGCTGGGAGGACAGCTTTCCCATATGGTCCCCTCCGCCAGATTCCACCCTTGGCGTCACCGTGAACATCTATTACCCTCGCTCCACTCTCGGATGGTGTGAATCGAGCGCCCTTACTCTCTAAGAGGCTTCACAGCGCAAAGGTTCCCCGCCCACCCCCCCCCGCCCCCCATGTCATCGTCAACACCAGCCGTGGTCACTCCACAGCTGGATGACGAAGACCTCTCCGAGCTGTCACCATCTCAGCACCTGCGCGCGAGCCGCTATCTTTGCTGCGTCTCCGCAGAAGGCGTCCCCCGGGATCCGTTTCATTCCTTGGGTGCCACCGCGGCTTCTTATTGCCATCTCATAGGCCATCGGTTTGGACGCGTCCCATCCAAGCCGTACTTTTTACTTCTTTGTGAGCAGCCAGTATGACATCATTAACCTTCGTACCGTTCACTCATCCACGGGATCCTCTTTCTGTTCCTTCACACGAAGGTACTCACCCCTTCATTTGGATTACGCACATGCCTTGGATTTTTTTCGCGATTCTTGCTTTTTCTTTTTTAAACACGTACTTTTTTTTTCATTGTTTTCACATGTTTACGCGCTGAAATATTCTTCTCGGTTTCTTATTTTCTTTCTTTTTTTCGCGGGCCGGAAGCCGCGCACATTAAAAACGGTCCACCAAAAACGCGACGGCGACGCGCCGTTCGGCAACACCGGCACCCCCTCCCCCCCCCCCGGTTCCTTATCCAGCGCCCTGGACCGTAGCCATCGCTCCGCGGGACTCGTGAATCGCCACATTTTATGGGGGGACGTGTTTACAAACGTCAAGGGGTGCGGGATGCGGCGATGAAATAAATGCATAACGAGGGCCCTAAATAAACCGCCTAAAGTTTAACGCAGTGCGGGGAACACTTGGTGGTGGAGACACATCAAAACACCGGGAAAATGTTGTTGATCAACAAATCAAGCGCCGGAACGGGGGAATGTGCCCGGGTCTCTCATTAGGGCCTAACCGCAGTGCTGAGTGTAGCCCGCGGGCACGGAGCAATGAGCTGAACTGATTGCTGCTGCGTGTGCCTTCTTGCAGGCCCCCCCCCACTCGCTCGCTCCTAATGAGTCTACCAAAAAAGCCAATTCATCTCCCATTAACTCCTCGATGTTTTTAAATACTACCATCACAGCAATGGGGCGTGCAGGCTTAGGAACGGCACAAGA